CTGCCTCAGCCTCCCAAGTAGCTGGGACTACAGGCGCCCGCCACAACGCCTGGCCATTTTTTGGTTGCAGCCATCGTTGTTGTTTGGCGGGCCCAGGCTGTGGATTCGAACCCGCCACCTTAGGTGTATGTGGCTGGCGCCTTAGCTGCTTGAGCCACAGGTGCCGAGCCCCCTTCTCACTTTTAATTTTTAATTTTATTTTGTGTCGTAATCATTTATACACAGAGATTCAATCCAGTGTATTAAGATACATTTCAAGAAGGACAGTACCTCACTCCTCCCATTTTCTGCTCCTCAAGCAAACAGTGTCAGCTGTTGTTATTAATTCTTTGGCTATTTACTAATTTTCTAACAGTTACATGTATTGCTATTTAAATTTTTTTGTCACTTGAAGAATTTTAATTTCCACCATGGAGTAAGTTTCAGCTCTTCTCCTAAACCTTCCTCACGTACACTAGTGATCTATTTATTTACCAAATATGGTTGTATTTTCATTTTGGTTGGGGCACATTTAGTTTATATGGTGAATATCAATGCTATTCACAGTTCACTATTAATGCTTGGTACACTCTGATAACTTTACATTTTTCTTGCAATCTTTTGTGTTTCTTGGAGTTAATAGTTGTTTTGCTTTATTTGCATAGTTTAAATACTTAACTGCATACTAATAATTTCTACTTAGTAACCTTTTTGCTAATTTGTATCAGTTCCTTCAGTGTGTTTCAATTTGGACTGACTGCCTTTACCCCCTCTAACATACCCATCAACCTTACCTGTCTCTGTCATCATCCTGGGGTTTCAGTTTACCTCTCCTTGAAGGTGCATCTTCTGTTTCTTAGAGACTAGGTCTTTCTTAGGTTATTGCTCTGTCTTTTTTTTTTTGGAGACAGAGTCTTACTGTGTCATCCTAGGTAGCGTCATAGCTTCAGCAACCTCCAACTCTTGGGTTTAAGCGAGTCTCTTGCCTCAGCCTCCCAAGTAGCTGGGACTACAGGTGCCCACCACAACGCTCTGCTATTTGTTTGTTGCATTTGTCATTGTTGTTTGGCAGGCCCAGGCTGAGTTCAAACCTGCCAGCCTCAGTGCATGTGGCCGGTCCTGTTGCCACTGTGTTACGGGGGTACCAAGCCAATTACTCTGTCTTTTACTGGTACACATCCACCACTATCGAGAAGAAGCATGGAGAAGGACAATTTTTTTGAGTCTGTGTTTTTTTCCTGTCCTGGTATTGATAGTTCTAAATCTAAAGTGGAAATTACTTTCATTCAGGTTGTTAAAACTGATGCCCCATTGTGTTCCAGCTATCAGTTTGTTGAAAAGTTGAAGGTTGTTCTGATTGTTCATCCTATTTAGACAATTTTGTAAAATCTCTTTGTCTAAAAGTTTATTTGTCTAAAAGCATTTGTCTAAAAGTTTATGACGACAGATCTTGTGTGAGACTATTTTCATTTGTTATCATAGGCTTGGGTATAGGTTTTCACTCCGGAACCTCATGCCATTCAGATCTGGGCAAAGTTTTTCAAAAATGTACCTGTTTATATTTATAAATATATCTTTATTATGACCAATTGGAATAGTCCTCTGACTTATTTTTTCTTCCATTTGTATCTTCAGAATTTTATTCTGCCGTCTTGCACATTTTCTCATTTATCTTTACCCATTCAAATGGGTATATGATTTTTAAAGTTTTCCTGTTTGAATTCCCAATATCTCTTTTTCTGTTCACTTTTTATAGCCATCTGGTTTGCTGTTTTTCATTCAATGAGAGCTTCCTTAAAATACAAGCCATAGGGTGGCGCCTGTGACTCAAAGGAGTAGGGCACCCAGCCCTGACTAAAAACTGCAACAATAAAAAAAAAATACAAGCCATGTACCATAATTTTTGCCCCTTTAAAATAGACTATTTTGTGTGTGTTTTTTGTGACAGAGTCTTATTATGTTGCCCTCAGTAGAGAGCTGTGGTGTCACAGCTCACAGCCAACTCTAACTCATGGGCTTAAGCTATTCTCTTGCCTTAGCCTTTTTTTTTAAAGGTGCCCACCACAACACCCAGCTATGTTTTTGGACCCAGTTATTTCGCTGGACCAGTCCAGGTTCAAACCCACCACCCTCCGTGTATGTGGCTGGCGCCGTAACCATAGTGCTATGGGCGCCAAGCCAATTTTGTGGTTTTTGACATGCACACAGTTGTGTAACCATCACCCTCTAGTTTTAGAACATTTTTGGCACTCTTCATTAAAAAAAAGAAAATCATGCCCATTAGTACTCATTGTTTATTCTTTCTTCCTTAGATGACTATTTCTGTGGATTTTGTCTATTTTGGATATTTCCTCCAAATGAAATCATGCCAAATGTGCCCTTTCTGACTCCCTTCTTTCACTTACCATAGCGTTTGCAAGGTTCCTAAGTGTTGGGGCAGGTATTAGAATTTACTTCTCCTTTAAGGCTGTGTAATCTTCCATTGTATATATATTTTGTTTATTAATTTATCTATCAATGGATAGATAGATGGGTTTGCTCTACTTTTTGGTTATTAGAAATAAAGCTACCATGAACATGGCCATTCAGATATCTCTTTATGCCCCTGTTTCTGTTTCTTCCAGTTGTTTTTTTTGTTTTTTTTTTTGCAGTTTTTGTTGGCTGGGGCTAGGTTTGAACCCACCCAGCATATGGGGGCGGCCCCCTACTCCTTTGAGCCGTAGACACCGCCCCTGTTTCTTCTAGTTGTATACCCAGAAGTGGGATTTCTGCATCCTACGGTAGTTATATTTTGAGGAACTTTCATATTGTTTTATATAGCAGCTTCGCCAGTTGACTTTTCTACCAGTGGTGCACAGGATTCCAATTCCTCCACATCCTCTCACACTTTCTGTTTTCGGGGGGGGGGGGATGTGTATGCATGCGTACATGCATTTCTTTTAATAGCCATCCTAATAAGTTTGCAGTTTCGATCCTCATAGAATTTTCATGGGACCTTTATTGAAAATAAATTGGGGCAACCCCTTCCAGACCTCTTCCATTGTATTGGAAGCTTTTCTGTCTTCTAATAAACTACTGCACTGTTAAGAGAAAAGAAGAGAAATTGAAATAAATGTAAGGATTGGGGCGGGCTCTGAATTCTGTTCCTTTGATCTACATGCTCATCCTTCTACTTTATTAATTAATGTAGCTTTTGTAGTAAATTTTGAAATCTCCATTTTGTTCTCTTTTCTTTTTTTTTTTGAGACAGAGCCTCAAGCTGTCCCCCTGGGTAGAGTGCCGTGGCATTACAGCTCACAGCAACCTCCAGCTCCTGGGCTCAAGCGAGTCTCTTGCCTCCGCCTCCCAAGTAGCTGGGACCACAGGCGCCCGCCACAACGCCCGGCTATTTTTTGGTTGCAGCCATCATTGTTGTTTGGCGGGTCCGGGCTGGGGATTCGAACCCGCCACCTTAGGTGTATGTGGCTGGCGCCTTTGCCGGTTGAGCTATAGGCGCCGAGCCTGTTCTCTTTTCAAGATTAATTTTGCTATACTAGATCCCTTGCATTTTCATATGAATTTTTGGATAAACTGTGTCAAATTCTGTTTTAAAAAAAGGCTGCTGGGATTTTCATGGGAATTTACTTTGAATTACTTTGAATATTCCATGTGCACTTGAAAAGAATCTTTGTTCTGCTGTTATTTGTTGGAGTATCTTATATATATATAAGTCTAGTCTAGTTACTTGGATTACATTGTTGATGTCTGTTACTGTTGATTCTCTTTCTAGTTTTTTTGAGACAGAGTCTCACTTTGCTGCACTGATAAGAGTGCTGTAGCGTCATAGCTCACAGCAATCTCAAACTCTTGGGCTTAAGTGGTTCTCTGGTCTCAGCCTCCCTAGTAGCTGGGACTACAGGTGCCCGCCATAACGCCCACTGTTTTTTAGAGATGGGGGTCTTGCATTAGCATAGGCTGGTCTCTTTCTAGTTTTTAAAATCTATTATTGAATGTGCAGTATTGAAGCCTTCAGTTAATACTGTTCACTTATCTATTTCTGTCTTCAGTTTTGTCATTTTTTTGTTTCATGTATTTAAGGGGCTTTGTTCTTAGGTACATAGCTGATGCATTGACCCTTTTATCATTTTAAAATTTCTCTGTGCCTAATAACAATTTTTTCCTAAGTTCTA